CCACATTAGGTTTGAAGCTTTCTCCTCAAGGCAGGAGGGCAGGGCATCTCCCCCTCTCCGGGGAGCTCGTTCCAGACACGACTGTTTTCCCAGGAGGGAGCCCGGCTGCCCTCCCGGCCCCGCGCCAGCCCCAGCAGCCGCCTCGCCCTCCCACACCTCCCCGACGCCGAGTTCCCCTCAGCGGGCACCGACTTGGCCCGAACCCCATTTCCCGGAGGCGAAGAGGGATGTTTTTAGGGGATCCCGCTCGCTTCCCACACCCTCTCCCACCTCCCCGCGGTGGGAAGCCCCTCACTGCAGCCCCCTCCGAGGAGGGTCCGCACGGAGCGGGGCGCGGTGCTTCCCGGCGGGGGGATGGATGGAGGGATCCCCAAAGGGCGGAGCAGGGAGCGGTGCTTCCCCGGCGCGAGGGGATGAATAGAAGGACCCCTGAAGGGCACAGGCACCCGAAGGTCGCGGAGACTCCCCTCTCCCAAGGCGGGGCTCGCCCCGCCGCCGCCCCCGAGCCCTCAGTGCTCACCTGCGGGGTCGCCATTGCCGCCATTGCTCCTCCCGGACCGCCCGGACCGGCACTTTTCAAACTCGGCGGTCCCGGGGCCGCCGCCAGCGCCCTCTCGCGGGGCGGGCCCGGGGGAGCCGCCGGCGGGCGGCCCTGGGGAGCGGGAACGGGAGCCCGGGAGCGGGAGCCGCCCTTCCCCACACGGCCCCGGGGCAGCCGCCGCTCCCGCCCCCGGCTGAGGTGGTGCCGCCGCCTCCGCCCGCCCTCAGGGGAAACGCGCGGCCGAGGGCCCGTGTGGCGGCGGGAAGGAGCGAGGACGCTGCGGGGAGTGAGGTACCGGACACCGCCCCGAGGGGAAGGAGGGGCTGGATGGGGGCTGGAGGGGTCAGTGCCCGCGGTGGCACCGGGACCGTGGGTCCGTGCCAGGGGGAGGCGACGGGGATGCGCAGGGACACATCCCCCGCCCGGCCCCGCTGGGAGAAACCCCTGCGGGTGCCCCTCTTTGTGCTGCGGCCAGCGGGTGGTTTCCAGTTTTAGTTCTCCAAACGGACTCGCGGCCGGCGTTTGTTCGCAGGGGAACAAGCGAACTGCGGCTCCCCTCGGGCCAGGATCCCTGGATCCCCTCCTTGGGGTGATCCCCGCCGCGGTGCTGGGCTGTGGGGAACTTTTTCCCGTGCAGAACTGCCCTTCGAAATGCAGGATTTGGAGGTTCGGCCGAATATTTGAGTGAATAAATAACCTGAGTGCTTTGGGTAGGCAGCAATCCCTCAGCTCTCGTGAGTGAAAAACCACCGGTGCTGCTGTACTGCCATCCCATCACACAGAACCGAGTCGGTGCTTAAAACAAATTAAAAAGATACTTACTGCTTTCAGGTGTTAAAGACCCTCCTCAGTAGTATTACATAATATTATTACCACACTAATGCGCTCTTCAGTCCCGGATTGTGCACAGCTGTGAGTCAGAAGGCATCTGGAGGTGATAGTGTTCCCACGTACAAATTTAGAAATGTACTAATAAACAGAAATGTTTTCCTTTTACTTAATTACAACAGTTTCTCTAGCCTAAGCGTTTTGTGAGAGATTTACAACTGAATAATTAATAAAAGGAAATCACACGAAAATAAAAATGTAAAGTAAAATTCAGATCCAGCTTAACTAAGTTGAATTAATAGAACCTTAACTTCTATTAAACCTTTGGATATGCTCCTGCTGTTAATAAAGCAAGCGCACTTTATTATAAAGCCTTCTGCAACCTGTTACTATTTGTAACATGGTCCAGGCTCTGGTCAGTGTTTAAGGAATTATTTTAATTGGACTGTTCATTCAGTGGAAATACTGAAAGTCAGACTGGTACATGTGGACGGAGTTCCAGAGGAGCAGGGACACTTCCACACCCTCACAGAGCCAGTCTGTCCCAGCAGGCGGGGTCAGGGCTGGCTTTGGCTCCATCACTGGAAAGGTTTGGGGGGCAGCGGCTGCAGGGGCTCTTTGCCCACTCGGGGTTCACAAAGGGGCTTCCCCCTCTTTCCTCCTGCTCTGGGACCCTCCAGGGAGGCAGAGTGAGGGCAGGGCGGCAGGCCAGGGAGCTCCCCAGCCTGGAGGGCCAGGGCTGGCGCTCTCCAGGGTGATCCCGGAGGCCGGGGGGCCCTGTCCCCAGTGTCCCTGGCCCCCGTTATCCCAGCCCACCCCCGGCATGCCGTGTCCCACATATCCTGCGGATAGAGGCGGCCGGGCCGTGGGATCAGCAGTTCCTGCCCTCTGGGCAACCCCCGTGCCACGGGAAGATGAGTCACAGCCGGGATTTGTGCCTGTCCAGCCCTTCCAGGATCCCGCAGGGCAGCAGCCCCTGGTGCTGGGGATGCTCCCGGGGAGCCGGGAAGGGACAGCGTGGGAGCGGCGCGGGGGAAGGGGGGTCGCGGTTTCCATCCCGGGATGGAGCTGTGCGGCCTCTTTGGGGGCTCCCGGAGCGGGGCCGGGGGTTCAGGGGGCCCCGATGCTGAAGTGGCAGCCCCGTCCTCCACTAAACCCGAGAGAGGGCACTGCACGCGAGTCCAGGCACTGCGAGAAGGTGAGGATCGAGGAAAAACGCCTTAGAAGTTTCCATTTGTAATCCAGGAGAGGGAGGACAAGAGATTAAGCATAAATCTGCTCCCCGGAGCAAGCAGGAGTCTGGTACCAGAGTCACTTGTGACCTCCCCTCTCTTCTCCAGGAAGGAGAACCACGTCGTGGCCACTGCCCACCTCACCCGTGGAAGATGATCCTGAGTGGGGGACTAATAACTGATTCTATTGAAAAAGACTCTTAGAAATGGTAACTTCGAATAACAGTTAAACGTATTTTAATTCCTTCAAACAGAAGGAGAGCTTGAAGGTACAGCAGAGAAATTATTTCACTGGTTTCAGTCTCTTAAAAAAAAAAAAAAGGCATGGCTTCAAACTTCAGGAACAGTATCCAATAAACAGAGTACTATCCCTATGCACCTGGTTTAGTGTGGTACAAAGAGCTTACAGATTCAAATGTCATAAATGACTGAGAAATCGATTCAGATAATGCTTGTTTACAGGGACAGAAACTATGTTGACAAGTATGAATAAGTACACAGATAATCTGTTTAAAAAACTCAAACTTTTCTAACTATATTTACACACACACACAGATGTATTTGTTTCCTTTGGCACTAGAAATTACAGACGAAAAGATTCCATTTTATGGCAATTAAAACTTCAAAATTAAAAATAACCTTTGAGCCAGTCAAGTCATACAGCCCCAGCACAGTTATTAAACTGCTGCCAACTCCACGTTCTAACCCTAGCAAATTCAGACCACGAAGCCTCAAGTCAGCATCCACCTGTGACAAATTTCACTGGGCAGGATTAACTGGATGTGAGAGCTCAAGCAGGGGGAATTAATGATAGATATTTAATAAGAATGAATCTCCCATTATTATGCAAGGTAGATGTCTACTTTTAAGAGCTCTTTATATGCATATAAAATAAATCAAGTAAGAAATGGACACCCATTACACATATTCAGCCAAAATTAGACATGAACACTCAGAGCAAACGATGGCCAGCTGTAGTATTTCTTCAGCACTGCAGAGAAATGTGTTAATCCCTACTCATTTCCATTGCTAAAAAAAAAAAATAATTAAGATAATGTTTAACTAACATGGTTTATTCTTCTACCATCTTAGTTTACTCTTTAGCCATTCCCAGGAGTAAACCCTTAAGTTTCACAGGAAATTCAGTATTATCAGTGCAGCAGCAGGAGTATTTTGGCACCCTGTAAAATCCTAAAGAACGTGCAAGAAAAAATTTTCTCAGTAGCATTTAATTATCCAGACTTCTCATTTCTTTTTTCCTGGTACTTGACTTTACAAAGCCTAAAGCCTTGATTACTTTCAGAACAGTTTTTCAAGGTTTTCTGCCAGTGGAACAACAACAGCACAATGTTTTTCCCCAAGCATCCAAGACTAGCAAAATGATTATTTTCCTTGAGAAACGACATAAAAACTAAGTAATGAGGCATCGTGGCAAGTAACAGCACCTCGACCCTTTGCAACAGCAGGAAGCCATTTTCAACGTGACAACAAAAAGCAATTAAATGGAAAAGATCTAAAATTTATAGGACTTTATAGGTTTTGTGCCTTCCCTCTGAAAGCAGTACTGGTCAAACACTACTTTGCTCTGCAAGCAGGGTTGGGGCAGAGGTTTAGGTTGAGATGGAATAAAGTACATGGTTGTCTTATTTCTGGACGTGGCATTGTCCCTGACACCTGGCTGCAGTCCAGGCTGGATGGACCACCCACTCCCAGAGTGTTTTCCCTCACACATTATTTGTCTCCACCAGGGATCGATCGTGTCCTGCCAAGTGTGTTTTTTAAGCATCCAAACCGGGCAAATTTCTGTGAGGAAAAGGAATCAAGAGCACATCACAGCAAAGTCTTCCCAGAAGACAAGTCTTTTCTACACATCCCAAGAGCTGTTTGAATTTCAGATGAGCTGATACAACTTTTTTTTGGGAAATATTTCAAAAGCACAGCACGTTAAAACAACTTCCATTACACTTTGTGGAACACCAGTACCAACAACCTCTATGTGAAATTTTTACAGGTCTCCTCAAATGAGTGTATCTAAAGCACACACAAAATGCTGCTACCAAGGGAAGAAAGCAGGGAAGTGGCAATTTTTTATACAGGAGCTTCACCAAGAATCCTGCTCTTTGAAATAGCCCAAATTAGCTCACACTTAAGATTTATTTTCAACCTAAAGGACGTATAAAACCACCCAAATCTTACAGTAAGACCCCCTTGGTCTTTTTATTCTGAGCTTGCACGGTATTTTCGTGCCAGCTGCTGATTATCAGTCCACACACAAGCAGAAGGCTGCACTGCACTACAGAAATACTGACCAAAAATGCCCCCACAAGTGCCTAAAAACTACTAAAATTCTAAACAGGATTATTAAAAACGGTTCCTTTCAGTGAAGACCAACCAGCCCCTTTGTGTACACATTTAGTTTTATTGTAACAAAGCAACTTGTACACTTTAACGTTTAAAACTGAGCATCTTTCTTTCCTTTCCAGTGAAAAAAAAAAAAAAAAAAAAAAAAGGAAAAAAAAAAAATTTAAAAATAAACAAGAACAAAATTACAATAGAGAATGTCAATTCCAAATAAAATCCTACAGGTTCTGCTGATTCTCCATCAAGTGGCAGGGCTCAAAGTCATCATTAGGAGAAGATTTTATTTTAAAAGTGTCATCTTAAACTGCAAGGATGTTTGTTAAACATCACAATTAAACATGCCAAAGGAGAAGAAGCCATGTTGTCAAAATGCCCACTTAAACCCACCCAAACATCTGAAACCCACCCCCGGCTGACCTTCTATAACCACCCCCCCACCCCGTTTTTATGTTTTATTTTTATTTATTATTTTTTTGTAGGTTTTTTTTTCTTTTTTTTAAACAAGAGAAAGTAGACAGATACATGTTGGTAAATGCTAACTGTCCATATTCACATAGAGACACAGTGTAATCTCTGAGCCCAATATACAGAGAAAGAAGGAAAAAAGCTAGATTCTATGCACTACTACACAGGGGCCTAGCACTCTTCAGCTTCCAGCAGAGTGAAGGGAGCAGAAGGTTTTCTTTTTTCCCACAGAACATGGTGTGTTGATTCCATAAACAGTTTTTTTGTTGTTGTTGTTGTTTGTTTGTTTTTTGTTTCGAGACAGAAAGGGATAAAAATGAACTTGAAACAGAAACCGGTAGATTCTTTTTTTTCCACTGTGTTCTGCTCAAGGTATTTCCCCCAAAAAAGAAATGGTGAACCATGGGTGGAGAGGAGATAAAAAGAGACCTCAAGAGAACAAGGCGACTGAGCACAAGAAATAAAAGACAGCAACTTGCTCCCAGGGACTGGAGAAAAATTAAAAAGGTAAAAAGGGGGTTTGGAATCCATCAGTGTTCAATTAGTCATCTTCTCCTTCATCCTCCTGTTGAAAGAGAAGCAACAATTAAAACAATCTACATCACTGAACTTCAGATAGCAAATGCAGTGAGTGATCAGAGTTGTTTTACAACCTGACTTAGAATCACTACAACCATTGACATGAGTTTCGCATTTGGAAAGTGAAGGGGTCATCTTTTTTCCCCTCCCTCATTTTAAACTGTGAAATGCTCCAACTTTCACGTGCCAAATTCAAGGTTACAAAACAGAGCCCAGAGCAGATCTCCTCTCAGCACAAGCAGTTTGTGCTGCTCACAGGCAGACACACCACACCCAGTTATGAGAAACAAAAATGTTTTCAGTTCCCAACACCCTGGATGCTGATCCTGGAATCCCACTTGCTACTTAAGGAAACTTCTAATTCCTGAACCCGACAGAGTCTTAGCTGAGCTGGCCATAAGCAGAAATAAACCAACAAGTGGGAGGATGACTGGAGGCATCAACAACAGCTATTTATGTGTAAAACACTGCTAGAATGTTCACTAATTTACTAAGAATTTTGTTACATCCTCGTTCTTCTGGAGCACCTCCCTCAGAAATTCACTACAACTCCGTATTTACACGATGTTTCTCAAATACACAAACAATCCTTATTGCTACACTGAAAGCACTCCACAAATAGTGACAGCTCTGTTTCTCCCCTCCAGACACCCTGAAGCTCAAAAAAAGAGCTATTTCACCTTGCTGACAACAGCCTGGCATTCTCACAAGATCCCTCATACACCAGGGGCAGATGGCATGAAGGGCAAGGTTACTCACCTCTCCTTCCTCTCCCTCATCATCATCTTCATCTTCCTCCCCCTCATCTTCGTCTCCTTCTTCATCAATATCCTCTAATCCTTCCTCCTCTTCATCATCATCGTCATCCTCCTCTCCCTCCCCTTCTTCATCGTCCATGTCAGGAACCTTTAAAGGCACATTTGCAACATCAACCCCAGCGATCAAATCCCCTCTCGCTCTCCCAGGGCTGCTTTGGGCCCCCTTTCCCTGCCCGGGGCTGCACCTACCAGGTAGTACTGTAATGGGTTGGGCCAGATGTCATCCTTGATGACTTCTCCTAATTCATCAGCCCCTGCATCAGAGTGGTCAGTGAACCAGGTGAAGAAGCTTTCTGGCTCTTCATGCTGCCTCTTCCTACTGGCTTTGTTCTGTGTCTGGCTTGAACGTTTTGTCAGGTCCTGAAAAGCAAGTTAAGAAGTTCACTGAAGTTGTCTTTTCGTGGCTTTTTATTTTTATTTTTAGAAGCCTACTTGTCTAAACACCCACAATAAGTCACTTCTCTTTATTCAGGGTAAGTCTTTAAGAAACATTTGGAACCCCAAACAGCTCCCAGAAAATGGTGCATTTGTCACGAACGTGAGGGAACAGCAAACCTGCCTGTTTCTTTCAATGACTTCCACAGAAACACTGAAAATTCCCAGAATCTCACATTTATGCTTCCCTACCCCAAGGAAGCAAAAGTATGACAAGTATTTAATGAATTTAAAAGGTCTCACAGCAGCTACTCAGAATAGCTGTAATTGCACATGGATGCTAGGACTACTAAATACACCCAATTCAAGAAACAATCTGCACACCTCCAAGCTCTGTATTTAACCTGAGATAAAGACCTGTCTGGGCCTTCTTAGCCTAACATTTTCTGCTTTGAAGTCTTCAAGACATTCTTTGTAGTAAGTGGGGAAAAAAACCAACCACACAAACCACTCACACACGGTCACAAGAACATGTGAGCTCTGGAAGTGTAGTAAGTTTGCAACAATCTCTTTGCCAACTCTAAAAATTACTATTCACTATTTAAATAAATTATTTCTTTGATCATACAGTAACTCCAAACTTTCAGTATTTGTTTTCTTGACAATCACATTTATAGGTTTGGACAGTTTAATGAAGAACAATATCAGAATCCCCACTGATTTTTGTGGTCTGTTGTAAGGATCACTTGACCAGTTTGTACAGGACAATAAGTTCTTGTAGAAGAGGAAAAGTTCTAGTTCTCAGTGAAAATAGATCAAGTTTTCTCCTTGGTCTGAGGGTGACAAAGCAACAGCAACTTAACTGCAACCCTCAGTTCTACTTTTAAATACTCAGTTCCAAATCTTCAGGGTAACATGAAAGTGCTTCCAACTTTTACAGAAACAAAGTAATAATAAATAATAAATAATAATAAATTATGTTTGATATGCCGCCTGGATGACAGGTATGCCCACATTATTGTGTGGCTGCAACTGCTACAAAGATGTGGTGTCTGGAAATGAAGTGGAGCAAATAAAAATAAAACCAAATCACACCCCACCATCTGATCTCCTGAACATCTGTCCTCAGAATTCCTTACTTAATATTATTTTAAGAAAACAACAGTCTAGATGCTGCCCAAGGAAGAGACAAACTACTGTGCTTGGTAATGCCTCCACCTGGTCATACTTCCACTTTTCCTGGTGGTGTTTAACTGAGCAAGAGAATCCCCTACAGATCTCCACAGAATTGGGGTATTCCAAACCCTGCAGGACAGCCAAGAGCTGGGTGTGGACAGAAGTGCCAAGGGGGGTGAGAGGGGAGGAAAGGAGGACAAGGCAGCTTCAGTGCAAAGGGGAAAAGCCAAAGGAAGGTGATTAAAGCAATTCCATCCCACAGCAGCAATCAGCTCTCCCAGATGCTCTCCATACCTTCCCAGATTTCCATTTGATCTCAGTTGATTTTGAAGAAGGGTCTCCGCTTTCGTTGAGGTGAAACTCTTTGGAGAGAACTTTATTTTCAAAGTAGGGATTCTCATCAAAATACTGCAGAGTGGAAAGCAGGGAGTTAGAACCCACAGAGGGGCAACACAGGCCAGGTCAAAGCTGGCACTGAACGGGCAACTGAAGAGATTAAGTTACAAACCAGAGCCCAACATGCAAAAGACATCAAAAAAACCCCCAGTAAAATAACAAGTGAAGGAATCATTTAAAGTACTTACAAAATCTATTCTGTAACCTGATTTGATGTCTTCAAATTCTGTCACCTCCACTCTGGTCAAGTAATGCAGTGCTTCCTCATCTTCTTCCCCCAGCAGTGCAGATACTGAGACAGAACCAGGGATCCCACATTAACAAAGCCATGGGATGGACACCAGGCAGGCAAAATACAAGGAACTGATAGCAAGATAATCTTAAAAGCAACACATCTGTCCAAAGCAACTCCTTACAGCCCCTTTAATTCCAGTTAGCAGCCACCAGACTGTTTGCACTTGCTGAGGTGAACACATCACATCTGCTTGCTGCAGTTTAGTGTTAAAGAGCAGCAAACATCCATCCACCCTTCTCTGACACAGATTTTCATGCCTGTTGTTTGCCCAATCTAAAGAGTCTGCAAACTTGTTTTGCAGAAAGTTTGTTGTCAAGAGCCCCAAGGAGCTCCCTTCCAATTAAAAACACCCAAACAAACTAGAATCTTATTTTTAATTTTTACTTTAAGGGCCTGATGCACTGAGTAAAGTGGGGAATTTGCCATTTAAAACGCATGCATTTTAGGATTAAAGTATGTTAGTAAACAAGAAGTTCTTTTGTCAACAAGTGCTAGAAATAAAGAGCTTATAAAAAGGCAACCTAGGACAGAAAGGAAGTTTTTGGTATGACCAGTGACAACTGTGCAGGACCCTCAGAGCTTCAAGAGCCCCGTGTAACAAGCAAGCAAACACTGAATTTACAGGGGAAAAAAAGGAGGGCTATTAAGAATATACCTTGTGGGTGGTTGACAAATGTTGTTACCCAGAAATTTGGGATTTTGGCGATCAACTCTGACCTCTTCTGGAAGAATGGTTGGCGGAGTTTGTTGTATTTCTGTTCTACTTTCAAAATTTCCTCACTGGCTTGTTCATTCAGTCTGGAACACAAGGAGCCACGTTAACCACAGCAGTTCAGGACACACCATCAGTACCGAACCAAGAGCTGGATGGGTCTGATGAGATCAGGCTGCCCTATCTAACCCATGGAATATCCCAAAAAAACCCCAGGCCCAAAGCTGGAACCACCATTAAACACCCTGCCAGAAGAACCTCCCTGGTCTCAATGGAACCTTCCCAACACACTGAGTGTTTTGCTGGGATGGAGCTTAATTTATGCAAAGCCAAGCAGTGTTTTAACCCTTAAACATTTTGTTTGCAAAAGACCTGCAGATGGAGAAGACATAATACCATCACCTGCTCTCTGTCACTTCTGGGCAGGCAAGGAAGCCACAGCAAAGCAACTTTACACCCCGTGCAAGTAAAATCTGAAGACATAACGTGTGATTGTTGTTGTGAAAAGGCAAAGCCCTGACACTGCAACAGCTTCACATGTCAGAGCCCCAGCAAGCACCTGCAGTACCAGGCAAAGCCCCACAGCCCAGAGAGCTCTGACATACAAAACTAACATTTCAGGGACATTTTCTATAAGTTATTCTACAAGCACACAGATATTATAATAAAAATATATAATAAAAGCCGACTTCTCAACCAAGTTCTTGGTTCTGCTTGCAAACAAGGAAATGCTTTTGCCAAATAACACACACGTTAACCCAAAGCCCCAAGACAAAATACTTTGCTGTTATCAGAACTACCACAATTAATTGAAAATTTTAAACTCGAGTTCTACCTTTTTAATTCTACACAATTAAGCAAGAAACCAGGACACTTCTTTGTGGTTTTTTAAGCCTCTAATCAAGTCAGAACACACGTATGTCTTGGCAGAGTTCAAACAGAGAGAGCACTACCGAGCACTTAGTTTACTCAATATTTTCACTTTGACAGTTACACTTCAATTTGGGCTCCAAGGTTTGAAAAGTTTGATAACATTTACCTGTCTATTTCATTCTGTACTTCATCAATGTGTTCAATTGCTTCCTGTTGCTCTTTTTCTGAAAAACAAACGAAAATGTGTCAACATCCCTTCGTTCTCAAGCCTGACAAATCACCTGGGGCTTCTCTTCGAGACCTTTTCTAGTGATCTACTGTAAAAGCACCCCGGGATTTCTACTAAATGTCATAAGTCTTACAGGACTTCAAAGCTTCAGCCTCGCAGGGAGCTGAAGCGCAGGAAAGTTTGACAAAGCGGCCCTCAAAGTGAGTTCACCCCCAGAAACCACAGCTCACGTCCCCCTCCACACTTTTACAAGCCAACTTGATTTAAAAGTCAACCGTGACACACGAGTAGCAATTTAATTTAAGCGTCGTAAGCCGCGTTCACTACGACCGACACAATCGAGGGAACGCGAAATAATTTAGAGAGGACCGCGCTCTCAATAGGAACGGCGTGTCCGGGCACACGCCACCTTCCCCACGGCAAAAAGGACGTTCGGGAGGAGGGTTACAAACAAAAACGCCTCAAAAGCGGCCGCTCGCAGGTATTTTGTACCGGGCCGTTCCCCCGGCCGCAGGTTGGGGTTCCGGAGCGCTGTTTCCCCGCCGCGCGGGCGATGAATGAGCAGCGCCCGGGGGGGCCGTGCCCGTGCCCGCCGCGGGACGCACGTGGGGCGGCAGCGCGGGCAGCGCCGCGGCGAGCGCGGCCTCCCGAACCCGCGGGCGCACGTGGGGCGGCCCCGGCCCCGCGCGTCCCGGCCCCGCGGCACCACGCGGCCGCGGCGGCGCATCATGGCGGCGGCGGAGCGGCAGCACAATGAGGCTCCGCGGACGCCGCTCCGCGAGGGGCGGCGCGGGGAGGGGGTCCCGCCGCTCGGGCCGAGCCGCAGCGCCCCCCGCCCGGCCCCGCGGGGAGGGCGGCCGGGCCGGCGGCGCAGACAAAAGGGCGCTGTAACATGGCCTCCTCCCGCCGCCGCCGGGCCTGCACATCCGCCCGGCCCGGCCCGCGCTCCGCCCGCCCCCGGCGCGGCCGCGGCCCGTGCGGCGGGGGAAAATGGCGGTCGGGCGCGAGGCGGAGGCCGCGCCGGCTGCCGCCATTCCCGTCCCGCCCCCGGCGCGGCCTCACCTGAGGTCTCGTCGGCCCCATCGTGGTTGGAGTTCAGCTCCTTCTTACTGACTTTGGCCGCCGGCGCCGACATGTTGGAGGCTGCGGAGCTCGGAGGGCGGGAGGGAGGGGGTTGCGACGGGGGTGCGCGGGGGAGGGGGGAGCCGGGCGCTGACTCCTCCTGCTGCTGCTGCTGCTGCTGCTGCCGCCGCCGCCGCTGCTACCGCCGCCGCCGCTCGGGTCCCTCCGCCGCCGGGGCGCTCCCGCCTCCTCCGCGCGGTGCTGCCGATACCGGGGCGGCAGCGGCGCCTCTCGCTGCCCTCGCGCTGCTCGCCCGGAGCCGCCGCCGCCGCCTCCTCCTCTGCTGCTGCCGAGGGGCGGGCACGCGGCGCGCATGCGCGGCCACCCCCCCCGCCCCAGCGCCGGGCCACGGCGGCCGCAGCGCGCGTGCGCGCCGAGCCCCCCGCCCCGGGGCGCGCTGTGCCGCGGGCGCCGCGCTGCGCAGGCGCGGAGCGGCCTCTCCACACCCCGCGCCCGGGAGGGCGGGGCGGGCCCGGCGCGCGCGCAGCCGCGGGGAGGCCACGCCCCCGCTGTGGGCCCGGAGCCGCGCGCTGATTGGCGGGGAGGGGCGGTGGGGGGCGCGGCCTCGGCGCGGAGACACAGAGGACGGCGCGCGCGGGAGGGTTCACGCATGCGCGCGCTGCACGTGCCCGCGCGCCCCGGCTGAGGCGCCGCGCGCGACGCCCCGGGGGTGTCACCCCTCTCCTCCCAGTCCCCTCACGGCCTCCCCCCCACACGGCCCGGCACGGGGCAGGACGAGGGGCACAGTGGCGATCGGGGGCACCAGTGTCCAAACGGTCCCAAATGGTCCCTAAGGGCTCCAGTGCCACGCTGTCCCACCACCTGAGGCAGCCCCAGAGCCGCTGGTGCCACCGGATGATCCCCATCTCCCTGCGCTGCCTCCTTCAGCTGGGATGCGTCCTAAAGCATTTACAGAATCACCAAGGTGTGGAGAGACCTTTGGGATCACCCAGTCCAACCATGCACCCAGTGCTGCCTCTGTAATCCCATCACTCAGCACCACATCCAACACCTTCAGCCACAGTGACTCCACCACCTCCCTGGGCAACCCATTCCAATGCCTGGCCACCTGAACAGTGAAAATATTGTTCTAATATCTGATCTGAATCTCCCCTGTCTCAGCTTGTGGCCATTTCTTCTTTCCTCTCACTGAAGGCACAGCAGAAGAAACCGGCCCCCACCTCACTACAACCTCCTCTCAGGTAGTTGTGGGGGGTGATGAGGTACCCCTGGCACCTCCTCGAGACTAAACAAGCCCATATAAATAACTTGGTTGAGGGCCCCGAGCCCTGTCGGTCACACCCAGCCCGTCCCTGGGGGGGCACAGCTCCAGAAGGTCACGGAGCCGCCTGCCAGCACCTGCCACTGCCCCCAGAGCAGCAGCACTTTAAATAACCCTTTTTGTCCCTTTCCTGTCCACCTGTCGTGGAAGAGCTCAGTGCAGCTTCACAGCCACGGCTCACCCGGGTTTGCTCTTAAAGGAACAGCCAAGCCACTCTTTTCTGTTGAAATCAGCACCACGTTGCTCACAGATGAGTGTTATGACACAGATCGGGCTGAGAAACAAGTACAGCTTCGAGGAAGTGGGAATTTGCCATTTGTATTTGCTTCCCAGGCACACTTTAGCCCGTTCTCCCTCCTCGTTTCCTCTTTTGCCTCTTCAAATTGCCCTCACAATGACTCAACAAGGCCTGGATTAGTTCCTGCCTCCTCAGGGGTCTTGACTACAGTTTTCGGATTCCCGCTCCCACCTGTTGCTTCCAAATCCCAACTGTCTTTTTCCTTTTGTATTCCCAGCTGTCCCTTCCCACCAGCTCTGTCCTTGCTTCCACTGCCACGTGGCCAGGCTTTGGGCTGTGCTTCCCTGGGCAAAGAGCAGCAGAGAGGAGCTGCCATCCCTTGGTGCTCTGCTTCCACACACACCAATGACCACCACTGGTCACAAAAGGGAAGCAAAGCACCCCAGCTTTGTAAATGCAAGATTATCACATCCTTCCCAAGAGGGGCGTCCCAAGGCCTTCCTGAAGCCCTTCACAGCAAGGGGATTCCTTTCACAGTCCACCTGCACCTCCCAGCATCATTCCAATGGATATCTGCCCGTTCAGACAAGGTAAGCTCATGTGTGGGACTTGGTTTTATCCTCCTGTTTCCCTTGGGTCTCTTGACTGTGCAGGTTTATTTCCTTGGGGTTTCTTTTCCCTCTTTTCTCACCTGTAATTTACTGTTATATTGTCCTTCTCTAGATTCAGCCTTTGAAGGTCTATAATTGGAAATAAAGGTGCAAAGTTTGAAGTATCTGCCAGCTCCCTACTAGAATCCCTTGTTTAGTCTATAAATTACCAGGTATTCCTGAAGTACATGATTAAGGTGATCCACTGATGTATCCAAAGTCAAATAATCATTAATTTTAACTGCTGTACTGTTAAAAACCCATTTCCAGTATCTGTTTATAGTGCCCTAAAACTAGCTATTATAAAGAAAAAAGTGCATATCAATGATATATATTTAAAAGAATGTAAATATATATAAATAATAAAAGACCAATATACATAATTATTAATATAAATAAAACATTAAAATAAACACTTTTTTTTATTTTAGACACAAAATACAAACCTGTGTTTTCATGTGAAAAGACAAAGCAGAGGGTTCAGTTTTGGGGAAAGGGAGAGGTGTCCTTTCACATAGTTTCTGATTTTTTTGTGATGTGCTGTTCCCAGCTTCCTAAAACACCTTTTGTCCTAACTCTTCCTCAGTTCTCTTCCTGTTAGAAGAGTTATGTGAACATCACTACATCTCCTCCAGTTCTGCATCCCTGCCCTCCCCCTGTCCAGCCACTGTTGCTTTAACAGCCTGGATTTTCTCCCTTCTTTTCTCATCTTCTTGTAGGACCTTTATCAACTACTCTGATTACATCAAACATAAGAGAGCAGTAACATTTTCCCCTGAACTGCCCTGTCCAAGGAGCTGTGCTGCCTATAAACAGCTCATTCCTCATATTCCATATTCCAGAGTCAGGATTCTGGCTTGTGTTTGACCTTCAGGTTGCACAGTTCAAGCTGCAGAACTGTGGCATCTTCCCCGTGCAGTGCCTGAGCACCGAGCGCTCACAAATCACAACACAAAAATTACATCTTCACAGCCTGCCCTGACTTTGTCAGGCTAATGAATAAAACTGGGAGGGTTTTGGCAGCACCTGATAACAAAACTTCTTTGTAAAGGAAATCTTATATTTGCTCCTGGAGGTGAAAGTTCAGATCTCCCACTGTTTCTTTCCTCGGTTAGGTGTTACTACAAGACAGAGACATGATTGGCAATCAGGCTTAATTCCTGGGATTCCAAGTCAGCTGTAAATTTTAAACACAAACCCCCCAATTTGGCAAATGAAATCAGAAAATGTGCTAAATCTTCTCAAATCCAAGGCAGGGACGTGTGGAAGAAAGAGCACATTTCCTCCCAAGTGTTTCTGCGGTGCAGAACGGGCAGATAGAAAATCGTGCAAGTTGATATAATTAGTAGCAACTCACAGCTTTCCCTCCTTCCATCCCAAAGAATCTCACAGCCTTTATGGAGATTGTAGTAGGGAAATACAAACCAAGGATCATTTCACCACCCCTGAAATGCAACCAACTGCTCCCCGGCCCTCCAGCCAGGCTGGCCCAGCCATTAACCAGGCAAATACCTCCCCTGCGACTGCTTATTCATCTCCACGAGGCACGGACCGAGGCACAGACCTTGCCAGTGAGCACTCCCGTTAGAACTGACTGGTGAGATAACGACAGAAGAATCTGCCACGTGTCCCCCCAGTTGTTGCAGTTTAAACCCTGGGATGAAAATATTTCGGGGCTGGTAAATGCCTTGGAGCAGGACAGCAGGTCAGGGGCACTGACAGCAGGCACTGACTGACAGTGTGGAGCTGAGTAAAGCCAGTGATCCTGTTTAGATCAGGGTTTGGGTTTCTTTTTGCTGAAATTCCCATTAGACAGAGTTGCTAAACCTGATTTTTACTTTCTCCTGCAGCAACATTTTTAACTTACCAGAGCACCTGCTTGGAATCCCTGAAGAGATGGATGGTCATGTGCTCATTCCCAGGTACCAGAGGCAAAGAGGCAGGCAAAATATCCCGAAAAACCTTAAATGAAACAGAAAGGCTGTGAAACCTGAGCCCCTTCTGAACATGAGACATAAGCTCTGTGGGTGCTTAAGGATGTTTTGTTCATATTTAAGGTGTACAGCTGTGAATTTTGTTATTAGAGCCAATCCATCCTGCAGTGAGGCAATAGAAGACTTCAACCAAGCTCAGTGGAGCTACAAGTTCACAAAAAATGTTTGAAAAACAAGGTGTTTATTTGAAATCAGCTGGTGATTAAATGGGATATGTTGTGGTTGGGTTTGTGTCTCCATCTGAGGCTTTATTTTGCTACAGATGCTTTGTGTAATGAAAGCTCTCATTAGAAAAACTGAGCACTGACAAGAAGCATTCCCAGATAGAACGATCAATCACAAATAAATACACTTTCAAACTGGAATACTGCAGGATTTATACTGGGAGTTATTCTGGAATACTTGAGCCAACCAAATTTCTGTGTAGAAGGCCCTGCAATAATTCCCAAGGGAATTAGCTCCTCAGTTCCCTTCAGGGATGCTCTGTCTGAAGAAAGGCTGAATTTCCCCTCAGAAGCTCCCGTGCTAGAGAGGATTCCTAAGGACACACAATAGATATGGATAAAAAAGCATGGAAATGACAGTAGGAAAAATTGAAATGAATGCTGAATGAAGTTTTAGGACCAGGAAAAGCTATACTTTGTGCTGCTGTGGGTTCTCCTGCAAGGAGATTTACAGGAGATCCCTCCCCTCTTCTCCACTCACAGGGAAATCAAAAGGGAGCCAACATTTCTACAGAGACAATTTCTAAATGTTTGCTTTCCAGGATTTTAAATCTGGCCAATTCTCCAAACTCTTATTTATCATCTCCTCAGTCCTGCAGCAGGAAAACTCTTGCTGAATCCTAAGCAAAGTTGAGTAACACTTCTAGATTTGGTCCCTCAGGAATAGCAGCAGAGACTCAAATTTTACACTCCGAGTATTTCATCCATTGTCTTCTTACCAAGTGGCAGCGGCTTTTGTGGGAATCATTAAAAACTTCCCTTGTGATGCAGAGCACTATTGATATTTGAACTCTCAGGGGGAGTAACCCCTGTCTCTATCCAAAAAGCAGCAGATGAAAATAAACACAACAGTGCTGAGTGAGGAGTGAGGATGTTAATGACAATTCTGGGGTTTGAAGTTGGCATTACTCAAACATCTGCAGCGTGTCTCGAGGCCCGTGTAGGAGTGTGGTGACAGGAAAGGTGAGACAAAAGACAGGAAAACATGTAGGAATCTGTCATATACAGGTTTGGCTGTAATAAGACATTGTACACATTGTTCTTTTCATCTGAGAATGTCAAAGCTCATTAAAACAACCTAGTTAAATACAAGAAGCTCTGTGAGGAAAGTAATTCTTCTCCTGGTAGATGAACGGAATGCCGGAGTTATTCAGTTATTGCTCATTAGAGCTGGGGACAGAACTCAGGAACAGGACAGGGCTCCAAGCTGGGCTGCAGGAGGAGTGGAATTTGGTTGATTGTGTCAGTCTGTAGGACCTGTCACTATCTGCTGGTATTCCAACAGCCCTGGAGTCCCCAATCCTGCAAGGTGTTACCTGCTTATAGAGCAAAGAGGTGGCTCTGGCATGGAGGAATGCAGAGTCTCTCAGGACATCATTTGACATCTGTTTTGTGGTAGAAATTCCTACTTATGCATTCCCCACCACACACTCCCATCCTCTTCCCCTTCACATTGTCCCTGCATTGTGCTTTTTTTTTTGCTTGGTGCAGCCCCAGGTTAAATTGATTGCAATCAGAAATAGTCCCCATAAACCCCATTTATTTTAACTTAGACCAGTACTCTGAGCTGGGTCCCTGGTGCAGGTGCATGAACAATGTCATCAGAAAGAGGGTCCCTTGAAGGGAGGGATGAAGGAGTGAGGAACACATTGCACAAATCTCACTTCGAGGTGTTTGTCCAGCTGCCCTTAACTGAGCCCAACCATGACAAGGTTCTAACTGCAACTGGTGTGAAAACAACAGCAATTTTTTTGGTAAGTTTTGTTTTAAATTAACACAAGCAAGTGGAATATATCAATAAACAAAACAGCAGCTCTGCCACCTCAGGTGATCCTGGAAAAACTTCCAGAGCAGAATTTGAGATCGTTGACAAATTGTCATCCTTCCCATTTTCAGAGTCAAAACAAAGTCTCTCAGAAACACACAAAGGAAATAACCTTTAAACCCCGTGTTTGTTTTCACAGGGTTATGACTGGAAAATAATTTCATCTGCCTTTCTGAGGGGGGGGTGGGGTGGGATAAAACAAAGTCGAGATCATTTCCCTCCCACCACAGCCGTCCATCTATGATCTGACTCACCACTTCTGGGACTCCTTCTGGCAGCTCTGGCTTTATTGCACTGAAAACTCAAGCCTGTGAAAATATTCCCTGTTTTCAGGTTACTTTGTTCTCTGTTTCGTTCAGGTCAGCGTTCCCTCCTTTAAGGGATTGCAACTAAACATTCACCAAGAGCTGGATGTTGCTGCTCTTGAGCCTCGTGGGTTGGGAAGGAAGGGGGGAGGGAAGGAAGGGAAGGCAGAAATGAAGGGGGAGGAGAGTCCATATCTGAAGAGAGATTCCAGCCTAGAGAAATCTTCCTGACATCCATTCAGCTTCCAGCAGAGTCTCCTTCAGGGGCTTTTCCTGAGATCCAAAGGCCCTTGCAATTCACAGCGGCATTTCCATGCGGGTTCCCCTCTGGGAGCTAAGGTGGAACTGCACTCCTGGATAATAATCCCAAAGAACACCACCAGCCTCCCATTGAAATGTCAACCAGGCACTCCTGTTGTAGGGAGTAACAAAGACATGCTAATATAATTAATTATGAAGCCTCAGTACCCTCATTAACACATCTTTAGTGCCTAGATCTTTGAAAATCAGCTGTGTGAAGTGACTGTCAGAGTTAATTCCTTATAAATTGCCTCCTGTCAGATCGCAGCACAGCAGCAAGTTCTCTCAGGCCTCGGTGCTAAGAAATCTGGGTGTTTTTTTTTTAGTTCTGATGCAGTTATATTACTGTTATTAAAGGTAGAAGCTGTTGCATAAGTAGGACTTTGTCAGGCTGGAGTAGAGAAAAATAAAAATGCCTTTAGCCAGCCCAGCTTGCACAGCTGGGGGCACAAATAGGAAAAGTTTCAGTCATCTAGATGGAAAACTAAAGACAAAAGAAAAAAAAAAAAATAAAACCCAGGACTGAAAGGTGTCCCATAATCTGGCATTAAAATGTTTCCGGGCCTTTTTTTAAATTGGGGGATTGCAGGCAGTTAATGGCTCTCCCTCCTCCTCCTGGGACAGCATTCCAGCTCCAGGCCTCATTCCAGAGCATCCTCCCTCCCCTCCACTCCCGCTCCCAAATATATATTTCAATAGGCTTAGGCTGCACGGAGTTCCAAACCCAGCATGTAACTGGGGCAATTGTCTTTTCCACTCCTCCACAGAGAGCCACAGTCATGCAGCTCAAGCCCTGTTTTGTCATGTTTTCACTCTTTTTTTTTTAAAAAAAAAGTGGGACTGAGAGGAGTTCTTGTGTTAGGAACACATATCTAGTGAAGAAAAAAGTCACCGAAATGGGCTGCATTGGTGGTTCCTTCCGTGATTTGTGAGTCCCAGCCTGTCACTGCCACAAGATAAAAGGCAAGTGATCCTTACAAATCACTCGGCATTTTCGGCAGCAGTTGAAACACTCACACTGACACATCCAATTTGTCTGTACAAGGTATTTCTGCTCCTCTTCATCTGCCACGTGCTTTGGAGAAGGTGATGATCTCCCTGCAGTGCATGATGTTGGGAAGTTAGCTCTGTGTTTGTATAATATGCTCCAGGACCCTCTGGGATCTCCCTTGTACTTGGGATAACAAACCAATCAAAAGGAGCTATTTTTATTTGCCATTTCAGAAAGTGGCTTTCACACTAAGTGATTTTGCTGGTCTAGCTAATGTGGCAATATGCAAATTCTCTAAATGGAGGTGAAATTTAGACCAGGAAAAGGAGTCCTCGCAAATCTCTTTCTCGCTGTATTAGCTGACATCATGGTAGGAGCATTATTTTATTCTCCACTCTTCCATTACATCCCTGTACCCCAGCAAAGCTCTGATGTATTTACTAATCACTCAGCGTTCACAGAAATAATGTTTAAGAAATGAGAGTAGCATGCTTGAAATCAAACAAACATACAGATTTCTGAAGAGCAATCAAGAGCTATCATGCAAATTCTGCTTGCTTGCTTTACATAAGCACAGATCTGATGGTCCCAAGTGGGGTGTAACTACTCATTTCTGAATGTCCTTTTTTGAGCCAACACTTCTGCAAAGGAGAGCAGTTCTATTCAGATGAGCAATACCTGTCCACAGTGCCTCCTGAGAGAACCAGCTGCTTCAGACAGAGCAATTAAAAGTTCCAGTAGCTGTTTGAGATAGTGGAGACAGTACGAGCTGATGAACGATGTACAGAAGAGAGAACTGATTTTTAGTCCTGCATGGTTACTGAAAATGGGATTAATTTAAGGGATCTGGGTGTTTTCAGCACTGCAAAGGGTCAGGTCCCTTTTAGGAGTGGCACAGCAGATTGTACCTTTCTGTCTGGGATGAGATGCTGGACGTGCTGCTCCGAGCCCAGCAGGGACTGGAGGCTGCTGAGCCCAGACAGGAGAGAGGCTGCCAATCCCCCAGTGCCAGCCCTAAGGCAGAGGCTCCCCCTGCCCCCAGTTCAGAGCCCCATGCCAGCCAGGACTGGGGATCCTGAGCCTTTCACAGATGCCTCCTTGGACAATCCCGCACTCGGCCCCGTGCCAGCCCCGCTGCGCTTCCAACCCCGCTGGCAGTGCCTCTGTGCCCCTGTGGGGGTGATTGCTGCCACCTGCCACAAAACCTTCTCCCAGCTTCTTCCTGTTCTGCTTACCCTCCACCGAAACCTTTGTCTGATTGCTAATCATGGAGGAAGGAACGTGGGATAAACAATCCCGGCACAGGGCAAGGAACTGCCCCCGTGTTTTCCAGGGAGTCCCTGAGTGTAATTCTGCAGAGCACAGCAGATCCATGATTTTAACGGAGATGGATTCTTTGGATAATGCCTCATGTCCCTGTGTAACAGGACTTCAGAAATGAGGCAACATGTTTTCTGATGAGAGGGAGAAACAGGTTTTCAAAGTAAAAAGGGCACAGCATTTTCAGGGACATTTTTGGGGTGGAAACAGGAAAAAGGAGGTCTGGAATTAGAGAAAATGCACGAGCCCGTTAGGATGGACCAGGAATAAATAGCTGGGGGAGTCACAGAGCTGGAGGGAACACCTCAAGTCCACATGAGGGCCTGAACCCTCAGCAAGGTACTGAGCACCTGCTGGGCTGCACAGACATTGTGCTCAACACTGACAGCTGGGGGGACCTTTCCTGCCTTCAGGTGTGGTGGATTTTAACATCACAACTCCAACAAAAGCCAAATATGGCAGTTACTGATCAGATATTGTCCATATCCAAATAACAAGCACAAAGTATCAGCACAAAGCCAGTTCAAACTCCACATTCCATCCTTTGCAATAGTTCAGTACCCAGACCTCAGCCAGACCAAATCTGTCACCCTGTCACGGGTGGGAAAGGAACAACCAGGGAACAGAGTTAGGCCTTGCTGGTTACACAAGCTGGGGAGACAAGCAGGGCCTGGGGTGACAATTCTATGGAACAAAAAGCCTTGCTGTTGCTTGGAGAGTTTTATTGTTTGGCTGTGGTTTGTTCTGAATAAAGGAGAATATGTCAAAGTTCTGTTCCTCTGAACAGAACCATCACATAGTTTCATTTATCACAAATCCAGGGCAGCCACTGCACCCACTAGTGGGGGAATTTCTACTGAGATGCAGCTCAGAGTGTCTGTATTGCTCAGGTCACAGTGATCAGACCCCAGAGTGCAGCTTGTTCTTACAGCTCAGTCCTTTTTTGATGCTGTTCCCCCCAGTGCTTCTTCCCTCCCTGTTCTCCCTTTACCTCAACCTTCTCTTGTTGCTTTCTGATGATTTGCTCCATTATGTGGAAGTGAAAAACTTCCTACACTTTGTCTCCTGAAAGACAGAGAGGAAAGAGCACAAATCAGCCCTGTAGGAAAAACTGCCACTTCAGAGAGACCTGGAACAGCCCTTCCCCAATTATCCCTGATTTTGCCTTATTTCCAGCATGGAGTGAAAACAAAACCATCCCTGCATCTGATACTGCCAGGCCAGAAAGGAAAAGCAACGTAAGATTTCTCGAAATACCTTTGATATATTGAAACTCCAGAGAAAGTGGAATAAAGAAGGATCAAAGGGGTTCCTTAGAACAGGCATTGTCTGCAGCTGTTTGCTCCTTTCTCATCCTCAGGGAAGAAGAAAGCCCAGACATGCACCACCTTCCAGGGAACACGTTCTACATGTGCAGTAACTTTGCATATTACTGGCTGAAAAAAAAAATGTTGATTTATTTTTGGTCTGTTTGGTACTCAAATTCCAGTTTTCTTATCTCTTTGCCATCTCAGAAAAGCCCCCAAACTTTTCTCCTTAAGTTCCCTCTGACAAGTCATTTGAAGTGTTTGAACTGCAGTTTGTGTTTAGCATTTTTATGTTGAGGCACCCTGTATATTAATTCACACTTGTAATATTTACTCCTCTTCTAAACAGTAATATGCCTTGGCAGTTCCAATCATACCAATTTAAGATAATTTAATGATGACTTAAGATGATCTATTTATAGAGGATAAATCTTAAACATTAAGAACCTCTTTAAAACCCCCACTCTGCTACTGGGTTCAAATATTTAGTATCAGTTATTCAACATAAACTTTAAAAATCCCACTACTTCCTGAATTTAACTATTTGCAGTGGAAAAACCTCATCCAGCAATGCTTGGTTTTTTAATAGAGTTGTTGAATTTGAAAATATATTTATTCCACTCATGAAGGGGCAGATTGTCTTGTCACTGTCTTGCATCTTTAAGCTGATCTCTTAAAAATTCAGCCTTTTTCAGGCAGCACAGCACTAGTTTAGGATACAGCAGTTGAATTTTTGAATGAAAAAGCTGAGGCAGAACCTCAAATATTTTCTCCAGGGAAGTCACTGCAGTCCTGCTGTGACAAAACCAGGACATTGTTTCCAATCTTCGTGTTTTTTAAAGCTCTTCTGTTAAATTGATATTTTAAAAAAGGTGGAAACAGAAAGCTGAATGAGAAATAAAGATAATAAAGTTGACTCAAACCCACAGCTACAGACACCTGGTTGGAAATCCAGAGTTCTAGAACTGTGTTTTTGAGATGTTTCACTTGCCCTTAAATTGGTAGAAAGGACAGCAGAGTGTAACTTGTCATTAAGTTCTGTAATTCATATCCTGACCTGTGACCAGACAAAAAAAAAAAAAACGGTTGCTGCTGGAGATGCCAAACTTGAACTCTGGAAGTTCAGATCAACTCAATCAAATCAGAGAGAGATGACAGGGCTGAAAAAGCCATCAGTCCAAGCCAGGGGTGCATTTTTGTTCTTGGCTGTTCTGTGGGGTATCCTGAAGGTTCACACCACCCAGGGGAAGAATCACAGTGAATACACAGCCAGGATTGGAAATTCTGAAGGATTCAGTTCCACTGGAGCTTTTTCTTTGCTTTTGAAGGAGGTGCCACTGAACCTCTTTCTGCTCCAGTTCCACTGTCTGTAAAACGGGTGTAATAGTTCTTTACCACGAATTTTAGGGAGTCTTATTTCACCATTAATTGTGAAATATTTTAGATTCCTCAGAAGAGCCGTTGCATTGGTTCTGACATAAATGGATTCACATGTGCTCCAGAGGAGAACTCACTGCTCAGCTCCCACTCTCGATTCCCACACCCAGGCCAGGCTCCTTCCCAGCAACAGCCGGAATAACTCCCCGAAGTTGGTGCATCTGTGCCTGCTTATGCCAGCGCTAAATTTAGCCCCTGCATTCATCACCGAGGGGTTCCAATGGAGCTGCAGATTGAAAAAAAACTCTAGGCACAGTGCTATCTGTTGGGAATAATTACCTAAGGAAGCAGGACACAAGTCCCTGTCCCTGCGACAGGAGCGGCACAGGTGTTATCCAGCTGTTATCCAGCTGTGCCAGTACCAGGGACACTCCCAGACCTGCCCAGCGGTCGGGAGGCACTCGATCCCTCAGTGATTCCAGGAGCTCGGTCCCTCAGTGATTCCCCCTCAGCACAAATCACCACAATTCCCTCATCAAAACCAACACGAGCAAAGCAACGAGTCCGAGCACACCCCGGGCTTTACGCGTTCGGAGCCGGCTCCCCGGCCCGGCCCCCCTCCCTCGGCAAACACTCGGCGACACTCCATCCAGAGCGGGAATTCGCCCGCGTGTCTGGAATTAGCGACAATTCCTCCTCAGCTTTGTCGCCCCCTCCCCGCCGCCATCTTAACTCCTGGCAGCCCCCGCGCCCTCCCGCCTGTGCTGCCCCTCGTGCCCAGGCGGAGCGGCGGGACCGGCCGGGCCCCAGCGAGGGTACGGCGGGGGCGGCCAGAGGGGAGAAGAGAAACCCCAGCCGGACCTCCGGCCTCAGGAACAGTGGCGGGGACAGCCCGCGCCCCTCTCCCGCCCGGAGCCGCCGCCCGCCCTGCACAGCCCTCAGTGCCCGCTCCCAACATGGCCCCGCCCGCCTCACTTTACCGCCCGCGGCCCGGCGGGCTCGGCGCTCGGGTGACGTCACCGCGCCTCTCCCGTTTCCATGGGAACCGGCGGAGCGGGCGGTGGGAGCGGGACGGGCCGCGACCCCCAAACCCCCGGGACCCCCCCGGCCTCGCCATGTTCACCGACCTGGCGGCGCCCGGAGCCGATGTGCAGTCGCTGTGGAGGAGCGCCCGGAGCGCGCGCTGCGAGGCGGTGAGAGACCCCCGGGGCGGCCCCGCTCGGCGCTCTTGGACCGCCGGGCCGGGCCGCGCCTTTCCGGGCCTTCCGAGATCCTGCCCCGCCGTGCCCCCTCCGTGCTCCTCCGTGGCCCCGCGCAGCGCCCTTCCCGGGCCCGAGCCCTGCCCCGCGGGGAGCGGGCGCTGCGGGCCGGTGTTGTGCCCGCCGGCTCTGCCCCTTCCAGCCCTTCACTGACTCGGCCCCGTACGCGAACTGGCAAAGAAACACCCCCGCAGCTGCGCCGAGCGGTTCCAGCGCTCTTAACGCGGCGCTGCCACCTGAGCGGTGTTCGCTGCTGCCTCCGCAGCTCGCTGCCTTCTCCAGCTCTCCCCGTTCCGGGCTTTAGAGCACGGCCCGAACCTGGCTGGCATTCGGGCACCTCTGCCTCGCATCAGCTGGGTCGCAAAGACATTCCCTGCACAGGTACCGACTCACCTGTGCTTAGCCACGAGCCGGAGCTGTGCAGATGGGCTGGGAAGTCTCTATGAAACGCCAGAAGGTGCTTTGAACGCTTCGTGCAACACTTGTTTTTCTGTTTGGATTAGAGACTGTCTGTCTTCTTTTACCAGAAAAGCTGCCAGACTGGGAGAATTTCCACAGCAGAAGCTGCAACACAGTCTCACACAGGCCGGGACGCCGCGGTGCAGACGGAACAGGGCAAAGATTTTCTCCAGGACTTCCAGCAGCAAGTCCAAGTAGATTACACTGGCCTTCTGTCATTCCTTCAGAGAGTGGAGGACACTGTTATCAAAGAGCTAAATAAAAACTGGGAAAGCCGTGCCTTTGATGGCTTTGAAGTGAAGTGGGCAGATCAGAATGAAACAGTAAGTGGCAGAACTCAAAGCCTTGTCATTGCCCAAGCAGGACTGGTTGCAGTGGCTCTGACTCATAAGTTCTATTCCTGGTTGCTGTGATTGTTCTTGCCAGGTTCTAATAATTAAACATTATGAGTTGGATTAGTTTAGGGGGCGGGGTTTCCACCTTTCTGCTTGATGGTGAAACTGTTCTTCCTGCTGGTGACCAAGTTGCAGAGTGGTGTGAGAAGGAAGTCTGCAGTCAGTGCAGGCTTCTCTTCAGTGCCTTTAGAGCACTCCAGACTAGCAGGGCTCTAGGAACAGTTGCAGTCAATGATTTGGCAGCTCTTCCTACTTAGACTCTGTTTGTTTAGTGCACAGTGCTCAGGAGTGGAGGCACTTTGTATCAGACAGCACACACTGGGACTGGTGTTTTCAAACTGCTCAGCAAGTGCCAGACTCACACGTGGGGGGTGCTGTGAATCCTGAGGCACAGCCTTCCAGAGCTGTGCAGTCTGAGACAGGCAGTGATGGAGTGACAGTTGGTTTGGTGGGGTTGTGCTGGGGCTTTGTTTCCCAGCAGGAATTCAACAACATTTTCACATCCATCCCGGGACAGAGGGAAGCTCGGGCTGTAACGACACGATCCCGTCAGGGGTGGGCACAGAGCTCCTGTCTCTGTGTTCAGGGATTGCTGCTTCAGTGCTTGGCTTTGGTCTCTCCCAGGTGTTGTGTTTGCATACTCTGTCATTCCCATGGGCTCAGCGTGATAAGCTGCAGGTCACCGGTGTCTCATGGAATGCCACGGGATCTGTCATCGCGTGTTCCTACGGCCGGTGAGTATCCGGGTGGGGTGGGAGTGCAGCTGAGGCTGATGGGACACCTCAGGCTGACCTCAGGTCTAGATGTGTTTGCTTTCCCTTGTCGGTAATAAACTAACACGTATATAAATAATTCACCTTCAAAGTAACAAAATTATGTCTCCTATTTCTTCTACCTTTCCCCCTGCCCTGAAAATGGATACATGATCTTACTGTTTCTAGGTAGATTCTGTTGGGAGAGGAAATGTAAAGAGCAGATGCCAAGAGCTATAGGTGAGGTTTGTGCTTTATCTTCCCTGAGATTGGGGTGTTTCACGTGGTCTCTGAGCACCCTGGATGAAGCTGGCACCTGTTCCTGCCCAGTGCCACAGACATGCACTGACATTCAGGGCTTCCTGAAATGAGGCTTGGACAAAACATTCATGTAATTCAACAATGTCTGTACAGCCTCCCCTTCCTGGGCCCTGCTGCTGCCCTTACTCTTGTTTCCTTCTGCTCCCATTTGCTTTGATTCAAAACCCCAGCAAAACGGGTATCCATGAGGGAATGTGTAGGGAAGAGTAAAACAGGGCAAACCTGTATGTTGGTGTCTCCTTCTGCTCTCCCAGTCTACAGCTGTTTGCAGATGGGAATGTGGTTTCTGTGTCTGTGGGTACCCTCAGCAGAGTTCCCTTCCCTGAACTTTCCATATGCACCCTTTTGATTGTTCCCATTGTTTGCATGGTGAGTAGGCCTGGGAATGGGGAATCATACCCCAGATTTACTGGCTGGCACTTTGTTGTGTGAGCACAGATGTGAACCCTGGCACACACTGTATAAACCAGCCCACAGGGAAGTTCCATCCCCTCGTGATCCCTTCACCTCAGTTTCCCTTCAGGCCCCAGAGCAGCACATGGAAATGACCCACAGGGCATCCCAGAGCTCTGCTGGACAGGGCAAGACGTGGCTCTCCCTTTTTCAGGTTGGATGATGGGGACTGGAGAGGAGAAAGATCCTACGTTTGCACCTGGAATCTGGACAGAAGAGGGTTGAATCCACAGGACCCTGATGTGGTGCTGGTTACCCCCAGCTCTGCCATGTGCCTGGCTTTCCACCCCTCCCAGCCCTCACTGATAGCAGGTGGGTTGCCCTTACCTGGTGCCTGAAACACATCCTTGTTTCCTGCAGCCTGGATCCTTTGGTTTCTGGCTCTGAGCTCAGCCTCAGCTTTCCTGCAGAGGGAACAGCGTTGCAGCTCTTCAGATGAGGAACTGACGCTCCCCAACCTCGCTAAATGCACTGTTACCTCTGAACTGGGACTTGCTGCGTCTTCAGTGACTTCTGCCTTTATATCATCTCCTCAGAGAGATGACAGAGGGAAAGCCAGCCCTGGGTGGAAGGGAAGAACATACTTATTTCAGCAGAACAATGTTCTCTTACACCAGGGCCGACTGTGCCCTGTCCAGAGCTGCCCAACCTTTGGAGCTGCCAGGTCTGTTCCCACCACAGCTCCATTTGTGGGTTTGCTCTGAGCCACCAGGCCTGAAATGTTTTATCTCTGTCCTTTCAGGTGGCCTTTTCAATGGGGAGCTGGTGGTGTGGGACACCAGCAGGACAGGAGACCCTGTGATCTGGAGGACAGGGATGACAGATGACACCCACACTGACCCAATCTATCAGGTAAGAGAGACCAGAGACAGCAGGCAGTGCTGGGGAGGTGAGTGTTGCCACAGCTCTGTCATCCCTTTTTGCTTCCTATCCATAGCCAAGCTGCTGCATTTCAGCAGTTACAGTCTCTTTTGCTGGCTATTTTCCCCCAAGTTCAGCTCCTGAACAGACACCTGTAAAAAATAACTTCTCCCTGTCCAACATAATTGAAGAGCAGGTCCATTCATGTGTAACCATTAATTAATGCTGATGCAGCCAACAATACTTGTTATAGTTTAAAAACACAAGTAGATCCTTGGGTGGAAGCCTAAAGCCCCATGCTCTAAGGGGATTTACAAGCATGTTATTCAGTCTGACTTCCTAAAAATTTTGTCCTTCTGGGACCAATCTGTATTTCCTCATCTGAAAGGGAGGAAAACGTCGCTGTTTGCAGCTGGGTGAAAGTGCCGTAAATGCCCCATCCCAAAAGCGAGGGCAGCGAACCATAGAAACTGCCCTAGAGAATTCAGCCCTGAACACCTGGGTGCATTTCTCTCCTCACATCTGTGTCTGTGCCAGTGCTGCTTTGGTACCAGGCTCTGTGGCTGCAGCCTGGCTCTGCTCCCAGGTCATCCTGGCAGGTCCAGGCACTGCCGGCAGCCAAGCGTGGGCTGGACAGTTGTGACAATCCCCCACCTGAGCTGGTGGCATTTGGAACAGGTTCACTGGTTACCTGACCCCAAGCACAACCACCACTCCCAGCTGCTGACCGTGTCCACCGATGGGAAGATCCTGGTGTGGAGGGAGGAGCGCAATGGGCAGCTGGTCTTGGCCGATGGATTTGCCGTGGTGGCTCAGCAGATCCCTCGCAGCGCTCGGCTGAAGAAGGTGAGTTCAGCAGCTCAAAGAGCTGATCCCTCAAAATCCCTCTAAACCCTGGAGCCCGAGTGTCAGAGCTCACCTTGCACATGAGAAGGACCAGGAAAAACTTCTGAACACACACACACACACACACACACACACACTAACCCTTGATCCCCATCTCCTTTCCCACACTGAAATCACTCTTGGAAGACTGGCAGCAGCTGAGGTTTTGCCATGCTCTAAGGAGAAGCTGCTGGAATGGAGAAGGGAACTTGCTTCTAATATTAATTCACATGAATCCCTCTGTAGGATGCAGCAGGAGTTAAAGGTTGAGCAGTGCCCTGGATCCCTGGCAGGCTGTGCTGAGCTGCTCCGACCGCATCTGCCTTTCCCTGGAGCCCCAGCGCTCACACCAGCTCTGTCTCTTGTCTTTTCTCCCAGTTGGCCTGGGCAGAGGGAGCCGTGGGGGTGACCTCGCTGTCCTTCTCCCCCTTCGATCCCCACGTGTTTGTGGTGGGTGTGGAGGGGGGCTATTCCCTGAGGTGCTCCACTGCAGCCCAGACTCCGGCTCTCCCTGCCTGGGGCAGCTCCGTTCCCCTCAGGGCGCCGGTGGAATTTGCCTTCTCGCCCCACGCCGGGCCCGTGTACTCCGTGAGCTGCTCGCCCTTCCACAGGCAAGTGCTGCGTGTTGGGCACAGCGACCCTGGCTCTGAACACACCTTTCCCAAATAGCCCCTGGGGGGGTGTGTACAAGTTCAACAAGAGTGTCACCTGGCATTGTGAACCTTGGTTACAGTAGAAACAACGTCCCCTGGCACTGGTGAAGCTGCCCACTAATGCTGTGTGGGCACGTGAGCAACATCAACACCTTCCTTAGATCATCCCAGTTGTTACAACTGTAAATCAGTTTAAAGACAAGGAGCTGCGAGTCCTTTACTTGGGCACATCACTAAGTATGTTGCTTAATCCGTAAGATTTTCTGACATCAGAAATCTCAATAGTAACTGCAGCCAGAATTTAAATGAGAAGCTCCCATCTCTGCCAGCAGTTCACCCACCATCCACAGAGGCCCCAAGCATGAAACATGCTGACAGCCCAGGTTTGCATT